TTTTTTTACTTCTGATGGTCCATAAAACAAAGACAAGTGTAAATAACAAAATGAATTTATTGCCAAAAGTTAGGTACAAACATGGTTACTTTTTGACATAATTACCATGAAGATTGAGACATTTGTCTATCTGTGTACAAGCGTCATAGAATGTTGCTGCCAGTGATTTACATGGGCCTTAACGTTGTTTTGAAGATAGTCATTAGTCTCAAACCGCTACCCTGCTAGCCAAGTTTTTAGTTCAGGAAAAAGGTGGAAGTCTTCACACATTAAAGGTTTGAAGACTGTCACCTTTCACACTTCCACCAAGCTTGGAACTTTTTAAACATCCAGCGTATAGCCCCGATTTAGCACCAAATGACTTCCACCTTTTTCCTGAACTAAAAATGTGGTTTGGAGGGCAGAGGTTCGAGACTAAAGATGAGTTTCAAAACAACATTAAGGCCCATCTCAAGTCACTGGCGGCAACATTCTATGAACAGGAGATTTGAAAGCTTGTACACAGATAGACAAATGTCTCAATCTTCATGGTAATTATGTCAAAAAGTAACCATGTTTGTACTTAACTTTTGGCAATAAATTCATTTTGTTATTTACACTTGTCTTTGTTTTATGGACCATTAGAAGTTGAAAAAGACAGCCTACATACAATATCTTACATTTTTAAGATATATTTTTAATTGGTGTCTATTTGACCAATGAAATTGTGCCGTATCATTCGATTATCATGATAAACACGAAAATGGTAAGCTAAAATAACCAAACTGTTTATACATTTTTGTTTTAATATTTGTTATATCATAGTATTTGATTTATATAACTACAAGGTTATCTTATGTAAGGGTTTATCCCACCAAGTGACCAATCTAACAATCTAAAATTTTTTTCATCTACTGTACACAATTTAAAGAATTTTTAAAATGTGTTAGATTGGTTGCTTGGTGTGATAAACCCTTGCATAAGATAAAGTTTGTAATTATATAAATTAAATACTATAATATAATATAATAGAAGGGTTAAAGTACGAAATATTTAATCTAATAATCTTAATGTTTGTACAGTACTTATTTTTTGCCCAGGCAACACCAGGCTTACTCACTAGTATCTTAATATTTAAACAATATGAATTTATTAAAAAAGAAATTAATTTTTAATAAAATTAGTGAATGATGACATTATCATACGAAAATCATTAAAAAGATAAATTAAGTGATTGTAATAAGAAAAATGTTATATATTATTTAATTTTATTTTTTTATTTTTTATATGCAGGAATATCATTGTTTTGGTTTATCTAATGAAGTTGTTGAAATGTGGACAAGAATTGCTGATTTATTTGAAAAAAATGGAGCAATAGTTTCATCAGTTTCTTTGCCACATACTCAGTATTCTATTGTTTGTTATTCTATTCTTAATTCTTGTGAAGTTGCTTCAAATTTTGCTAGATATGATGGAATTGAATATGGTAAGGAAATTTTCAAATATAGTTTGATCATTTTTATTTAAAAATTTATTAAATTAACAGGATGTGAAAACTCAAAATTTTATCAAAGTAATATAATACTTTTAACATAATTGATTAATTATCATCATCATAATATTACATTCTGTACACATCTATATTAACCAAAAAGAGCAGTGCCAAAATATTTTCTTAGAAATAGACTTAAAATTTATAATTTCATAATTCAGATTTAAATAACTAGCATTTATTCTGTTGAAGTCTATTGAGGTCTGTTCAGGTACCAGTAAGTGTTACTTAGTGGTATTGGGTGCAATAGCCAAATATAAACATCTGTAAGCCTGATAGTCGTATTGAAGCCAAACAATTGCCAGATTACATTGGGCTATATTCCTGCTATTATTAATACATAAATACTAAGTAATTTTGCCTAAAGGTAGGCATTAGATGCCATTTCTTTGTAAATTTAATAAATATATTTAAATTAATATTTATTAAGTAATTTAGAAGGTTCTGGAAGAAAAGAATTGGCCTAGAATGGAACTTGAGCTGACAACTACTACTGTGTGGATGCATTGCCAGTTATGCTATCCAGACCTCTGTTCAATCTTTGCTTCCAGAATTATTAATTTAGATATAACCATACTGGTTACTCATGCCAGACCCTTCTAAATTAATTAATAAATATTAATTTAATTATAATTATTAAATTTAATAAGAGATGGCACATAATGCTTGCCTCTAAATCAAATTATTTATCATTTAATTATCAGTAGTAGTAGGAATACAGCCTGATCTAATCTGGCAATCTCTTGGAGCAATAGACTTAATAAAATTACTGGTATATAAGTTAGAAGGCATTGTTTCTCTATTGCATTTATATAGATGTAAATATAATTAATTAAAACAAAAACATAATACTGAGAGAGAGACTCTCCTAATGTTAATGGGTGTAAAATACTAATGCCTATTGAATAACAGTTTTTTTATCAAAACAAATGAATTTTATATGAAATGAATATTTTTAGATCAGTGTAGTAAATTAATTTTGTAATTTGATTTTGAAAGGCTACATAATTTAATTAATTTTTGTGATTTTAAATTTTATTTCACTTTAATAAAATTTTTAAAGGATTTTGTTTTAAAATTTCAGTAAAATAATTTAAGATTTTTTTTATGCTACATTGATATTGTCTTCAAATTTTTTATATTTTAACTAGAGAATTTTGCCCCTGACTGCCTACAGCAACTCAATTCCCTGCTTGTTTCACTAGTTGTTCCCAATATAACTTTTAATAACAAAAATCTCAATATGTATAACTTTATCTGTCTAATTCTGACTGAGGATTCATCAAAATTGAACATATAACAATCTTCAGAATGCAGAACAAAATTTTTTTTTTTTTGAATTGGTCAGAAACCACAATTGTTTTAAATGTGCCACAGAAAAATATTCCTTTTACATGGTTTGCTTCACTCACTTTCCTAATGGACTTGGCCCACTTGTTCCCAATATAAATTAGTCATAACAAAAATTTCATGATTCCCAATATCTCTTTCTGTTTTATTTTTTTATGAAGGAAAAAGTATCATGTCAGTTTTAAGCTAAGTATTTTATATAGACTTTAAAGAATTAAAAGCTAATGGCTTTTTTTCTTCAGTAACACATCACACAAGGAACAGTTGATTTATGTATTTTTTATTAAAGGAAATGCATTTCGGGTCTTAATGACCCCTCTTCAGTCCTTAGACTTTACAGAAAATGAGATAGATATGGGTTACATCATACGGAATAATACATATAATATTTTAACAAACTTTTTTAAAAAATAACTTATGTGGTTGATTGTTGGTTACAATTGACATTAGAGAGTATGTTGGGTAATTGACTTGGTAATCAGTTTACAGTACTAGGGTTGCTGCAGAGTTTGGATCATCTTTGAGTATGTGGTTGTGTTTGTAGAATGAAGTTGTATCTATATGGGAGAGCAGGGTAGATTCTCCAGATGGAGGCTATCTGGGGGAGGTGGGGTGGTATGGAATCACATGTGGATACTACCTGTTAGGGAGGAGGGGTTTCCAGATGCACTAATGGTTAGACTGTCATTTAAGTTCATTTTATAAGTTTTTATTTTCATGATTTCAAGGTGTTCATATAATTTCCTTTTTATATTATTTTTTTCTATTCTGAGCATTTTTAGATTATTAAGTGAGATTTCGCAACCTTCACTATTGCAATGTATGGCTACAGCAGAATTAGTGTAATTAAATTTAATAGCACGTGAATGTTCTTTTAGTCTGATTTTTAGGGTTATTTCAGTTTCACCTGTGTATTGGTAATTTGGTTGGCAGCTGCAGGATATTCTATATATGACATTATTTTGTTGATAGAAGTAAGAATAAAGTTTTTTCCATTCTAGAAGTGCTAAGAAAATATTAATTGTTATAGTAAATATATTCTTTTCTGATAGTTTTTTATTAAGAGGAAAAATTTTAAAAATTATATTATTTTGAAACATAATAGGACACAAAGCCAAGAATTATGCTTCCATGGCTGATTCTTATGCTGCTAGTAGACATGAAGGTTTTAGTGAAGTAGTTCGTGGAAGAATTCTTGCTGGTAATTATTTCTTATTAAAAGAGTGAGTATTATTATGATTTTTTTATATAGAAAAATAATAGTAAACTGATTTGTTTTAGAAAAAGGATACATAAATTTACATAAATAATCTAAATTTTTTTAATGGGATAATTAAGAAAACATTAATATTTTTCATGAATAACCACTTATTGAATTTGTTTATTATCAAAATTTAATAGAATTGTTACATAAAACACACTTTAGTATATATAAATTTGTTCTGTATGGTCTGGTGTAATTTAAAATTTAATAATTATTGTATAAAATACATTATTAATGAACATTTATGTTTCTGTTAAATCATTAGCAGATGAAGAAAGATTATTTAGCTTGTATTTCTTGTTTAATGTAATATATTTTGCAAACTTAAAGTAATTTTACAGCTGATTAAAAAAAATTAAAACTTAATATGATTATTTTCAAACATACTCTAATTAATATGGTGATTATCAAATTTCAAATGAATATAAAATATGAAGAGTATGTGAATATAAAGTATGAAACATAAAATAGAAAATTTCATTCAGTTCTTCTCTATAATAATATATTATTGTATAATGTTGAAATATTTTTGACAAGACTATGTCTTGATTATAAAATTACAGTGCCATCAACGGTTGCCCACCTTAGCAGTATGAAGGAGTACATGTCAGGAGTTGCAATTTGGCACAGAGTATTAGGTGGCCAAATCATGTGCACATAAAAAAAACAGACTTGTAGGTACTCAGGGACCAAGAATGAGTCAAAATAAAATACAAAATGGCAATGCTCTTTGTACAAACAGGCACTAGTGTGAGAATTGGGAATGCATTGCTCGTTGGGAAGTTGGAAATGTGAACATTGCACGTTTTTGAAACTACATGGCACTAGTTGTTATAATTTCATATTAAAACTAACTTCCAAATTATATATGTTTTTTGTTTTTACATTTATTTTGTTTGTGCAAAATAAAAAAATAATTTTGGATGATACGATAGTCACAATTACTTTTACAAAAACGGGAAATTTTTGTTATGCATCGACAAAAATTCAACCCTGGGTGACACACAACAGAGAGAAATTTTGACATTGGATAGGTTGATTTCATCAAAAATGCCCCGTGGATGACCTAGTGGTCATGGCCGGCAAACTTTGAATGATTGCACTCAAAACCAGCAATACCAAAGAAAATTGGAGAATGATGATGACACCCACCATGAGTATCGAAGTGATCCCACTTACCGTAGCCAAGAACAGGCTCATGACAACGCAACCCATCATAACCATGGCATCAACAAAGCCTGCCATAATCTACACAGGACTCCGAGTACCAATGTCAGCTTTTCCTCATTGGTTAGTGCTCATTTTTCTCTTTTTCTTAGAAAATGGTGCACAGTTAAGCCCTGAATCTCCAAGACATAGTCTTATCCCAAAAATGGCTTTGGTGTTTTACTTGTTAAAAATAAAAGTAAATACAAATGAAGATTTCAAATTGTTATTTTAACAAATAAAAATAAAAATCTGAAATTTTAAATCTATTCACTTACAAATTGGTAAATCTTACAAATTCTTTTTCCTTACACTTACAAATTCCACTTACAAATTCACTTTCCATCCCAAACCTTTATTGTTTTTAATAATTGTATATATTTTTAAAATTTAAATAAATTAATAATTTTTATTATAACATCAATTATGTATAAGATATATTCAAATGGAAAGGTACTAAGTCTTATTGGTTCATTATTTAATTATATTTTTTAATGCTGAAAAGTCTGTAAACATTGCTTGATGAGACAATGAATTCAATTGCTAAAAAATATCAGACTTTGAAACTAAAATCAATTCTATTACTATTTATTTGGCATTATTGTCTAAGAAGACATGGGACATGCTTTTGGAGGGGTTAAAACAGATATGAGACTATAGTGAAAACTAGTTGATATCTTCAAAAACTTTGATTAAAAATGAATTATTAGTAGTAAAATCATTAATGATACCNGCTAAAAAATATCAGACTTTGAAACTAAAATCAATTCTATTACTATTTATTTGGCATTATTGTCTAAGAAGACATGGGACATGCTTTTGGAGGGGTTAAAACAGATATGAGACTATAGTGAAAACTAGTTGTTATCTTCAAAAACTTTGATTAAAAATGAATTATTAGTAGTAAAATCATTAATGATACCAAATTTTGACAATGTAATGTGACAGTGTTAAAAATAGTAAAAAAAAAGTAAAAATAATAATAAAAATTGTTTGTTAATTAATTGCATGAATTCATCAAAATGGCAATAAAATGTTTTGAAAAATAATAAATATAGCTAAAAAAATTTTGTAATGAATATAATTTAGTCTTGGAAATTCCTGAGATTTGAAAAATTAACATTGGCAAATGCATACAAAAGATGATGCCTGATACTGAAATCTTTTC